TTTAAATATTAAAAAAACATATTTTATAATTGAAAAATACAAATCACAAATAAAATGAAAGGCAGCAGAAAGAAGAAAAATCTTAGGGTATTGAGCAACTTTTTTTAAATTTAAGCACTGCTAGAGTTAAACTGCACAAAAACCATCAACAGAAAGTGAAGTGCATTTCCTCAGAGGGCTTCACTGCATTAATAACAATATTTAAAATAGCAAAGTAATAATGCAACTATGTAAACAACTCAATGGTGCATTATCAAACAGGGAGAGTGACTCACAAAAACAGCAATAAATAAATAAATAAATAAACTACATATCACTGTAATGAGCCTGAAGGCAACATGTAGGAGGCAGCCCGGTGGGAATACAGTGGGTGTCAGTAATTAACTTTAGATAGAAATAGCTAATTCACGTAGGCATTATTACAGCTCTCTCACCAATTTAACACAACACTCTTTAATCAGAGGGCTGTTTGGAAAGCTYTCATATAATATTACTAATGCCCTAAAAGTATTTTGGGTGGTTTAGAATGAGAAAAGTAAAAGTAAGTTAACATTAAAATGAAAGCCTCGCTGGCAGAGATGCACACCATATGGCTCCCTCACGCTGCTAGACTTCTCACATATGGTACAGCAAAAGGGACAAAAGATTAGACGACTAAGATGCCAGCAGAGACTCGAGCTACTGATAATAAGCTGCTACAAAAACTGCAACTATTTCAACTTCAGTACCACGACCATCCCAGTGCTTCGTTCAAGAACGGTGTGAGAGCCAGGAGAGGAAAACGGTTTAATGTTCAACAGCCTGAAAGTCCCATCGTTACGTCACTGTAAATGTGTGTATACTGTGCTAACTTTCCTCAAGTGAAAAGAAATTTCCTGCAGGAGAACTTGCTTTAGCAAGTTTTCCTGCAAGTTTGATGCCTGATTAACATAAAGCTGTGACAAACAGAACTAATAATGATAATTATGGTAGCAACTAGCATTCTGTGGCCAACTAGCACTGCCATGAAGCAGTTTACTTGGCATCTGAAAATACATTTCCTCAAAGGTATTTTTAATCCGAAAAGAGCTTCAGTGAGTGAGAACTAATGTTGAGAGCTCAGCAGACAGTTAGGTTTCACTTTCACTTTCACCCGAGAGCCTGCAGGAGTCATGGGCGGGGCGTCCCCACCTGTCGTTTTGCTCCTCAGCATGGCTTCATAAAAACGCTGCAGGATTTCTCAAACATGCATGAATGAGTCAGAGC